GGTGCATGCAAGTCGTTTACATTTCGTGTCTATATTGGCAAGTTTGAGAAACTTGCAGATCTTTTCTCCAACTACCTGCACCAGTTCTTAAGATTAGGTATTTACAACCTGTTGAGAGCAGAAAGGTAGAGCAAGGGTGGAGTGCCCTGCCCTGGAGTTGGGATGCTCAGCTTCTTCTGCCTTTCAGACACGAGAACTCTAGGTTCTCAGGTCTTCAGACTCTATAACTTATGCCATGTTCTCAGAATTTTGGACCCATGCTGAATCACATCACACTAGCAGCTTCTCTGGTTCTCGAGATTTTAGACAGCATATTGTTAGATTTCTCAGCTTCCATAATTGCATGAGGCAATTTCCATAATATCAGTTTTTTTTTTCTAGAAATTTCTTCTGGAGTTCATTTTTTGGCTTTGATTTTGAATACTGTTTTCACAGTAAATTGTATCATTTCAAAAGTGGCTGCAAAACTACCTCCATTCCACAAACTCATCTTACAATGTGATGAGGGCACGGTTACATTGACAGACAGGGATCTACATTCTTTTCCTTTCAGTCTGGCAGGTATTCCACACTTGTGGAAGTGATGCTGTGTCTTCCAAGGCAGGATAACATAAGGGGAAATAGGTTTTCTACTTGGTTTTGTTGGGACACCGGGTCTTGGAACCCAGCCACCAAGCTGTGAGGAAGTCCAGCAACCATAGAGAAGTCCACATGAGGATTAAATAAGGACCTTTACTGACAAGCCAGGCTAACAACCAGCTAACAGCCAAGTGAGTAAGCCATGTTGAAAGCAGACTTTCCATGATCACTGGAGCTGATGCTTGGTATTCCCACCAAGCACTGCCCATAACCACTATATCATTTGAGGATGGATTTTTATAGGGTAAAATAATTTATACAGTCTCCTAATTATATAAACACCAAGCATCATTTTTTGTATTCATTTTGGATAAATTCCTTTGATTTATAGCTTCTCTTTTTTATAAGAACTGTCTCAACAACTGTCCCATCCTAAGCTTTGCAACCACTAAAGAAGTGACTCCTGTTTTTGAGTTCTATTGCTCAGAGGACTTGAAGAGGAATCGAGGTGACTATTGCCTTCTTCACTTGTCTTATGAGGGCTTTTAGGCATGTGTGAATAGATAGGTATGGTTTTTCTCAGGATAGCTGGTAAGAGTCCCATATTTTTAAAAGCAAACCTTTCTGTAAAGTTAAAAGATGGCAGACATTCCCATACCTGATATGTATAGCAATCCCAGAGAACTGTACTCATCAGGGGCATCCATGATGAACCAGGTATGCTTACTCATGGAGTTGGGCCATGTTCCTGCCTTATGGACAGCTGGGGTCTGTGCTGTCCCTGAGTATTCAACTGGATGTCCATCCTAGGAGGGGTTGCCATCCTTCCTGAATCAAACACTCAGCCATATGTCAAGAGGAAAAGATCTGTCTGGCCTCATACTTTACTTCCAGTTACTAGAGCATATCTCTCTTGAGCTGATCTGAAATGAACTGATATGTGTTGGATGATAATGGCCATGATGCTAATTTTTCCCTTTTAAATTTAATTTTCTTCCCTTTCCTCTCTGCCTTTACTCCTGTGTTCTACTTTATTCCAGTAGACTTTTCCTGACAAGATCTATTCTACTCTTTAGAGAATTCCTTTGAGCACCTTCCCAGTTCGGTTTATTCTTTTAAGCTCTACATATTTTCTTTTTCTGATCTGGCAGACAGCTTTAATTTCCTAGCAGAAACTACCATCTTTATTAGGACAAAGTGAGTGGCTGAGTTAATATGATGCAATGGATGGTGAGAGTGGATGCATCCTTTTCCTCAGCCTTCAGGTCACCGAAGAAAGTTTCTCAGAGTACAGATGCTCCCCACATGCTGAACAGATGTACCTGCTCATACCTCAAGAGGTCAAGGAACAAGGGACAGCCTAGGGACCCAGCACTGCCTATATTCCAGCTTCAGAAGATACATAGTATCATTCCACAAGTGTCAAATGGCTGCTTACAGACTTTGAAAGGGGAAAAATCCAGTGATTTTCAGTTGTATCAGCCAATATTTGTGGCTATAGTGAAAAACCTGAGGCAGCTAACTTCATAAAGAAAAGATATTTATTTAGTGCACAATTCTGGAGGTACAAGGGCATGGTACCTGCATTGGTTTATTTCTCTTGATGGCCCCCAAGATAGAATGGTAGATGGCAGTAATGGGAGTGTGTGTTGACATGGGGCTGAATTTCAAACTAGATAGTAGAAAGAAAGAAGGAGAGGCCAGGTTTGCTTCCTTTATAACAACATTCTTTTTTCTTTTACATGTAGCCCAGGCTAGCCTTAAACTTCTTATGTAGCTGAGGATGATCTTGAACTTCTGACCATCTACCTTCCAAATGCTGGGATTATTGGAATGAGCCACCATGTCCAGCTCTTTTCACAATAATCCTCTAGTGAGAACCACCAGGGGGTCCCAGGAGAACCAACTTGCCTCCAGGTGGGACTTAACTCTATTTATTTATATTTATTTATTTATTCATTCATTTTTAATTATGTGTGTCTCTGTGTAGGTTTGTGCACATGAGTGCAGTGCCCACAGATGCCAGAAGAGGCTGTTAGATCCCCTGGAGCTGGAGTTACAGGTTGCTGTGAACTGCCTAACATAGGTGTTGAGAACTGAGCTCTGGTCTTCTGCCAGCAGTGTGCACTCTTAACTGTTGAGCCATCTCTCCAAGTCCTAGCTCTTAAAGATTCCAGCACCCCCTTTCCTGCAGTACTGCCACTTGGGGATCAAGTTTCCAAACACATGAACCTTTGGGAGGGTACAATTAAACCATACCCAAGCCATAGCAATAGTTCTGCAAATACATCTTGTTCTAGTTTGGTTTCCGTTGCTGTGATAAAACACTGAGCAAAAGTAACTTGGGGAAGAAAGGGCTTATTTGGTTTATACTGTCACACCATCTTTGAGGGAATTTAGGCAGGAACCTGGAAGCAGGAACTGAAGCAGAGACCATGGAGGAAGCCTGCTTATTGACTCCTCCACCTCCCTGGCTTGCTCAGCCAGTTTCCTTATACAGCCCAAGCCCACCAGCCCAGGGATGGTGTTGTCCACCTTAGGTTGGGCCCTTCCATATCAAGTAACAACCGAAACAATGCCTTACAGAAAAACAAACCAGTGCAGATCCCAATAAGTCTTGACAGACAGGCCTAGCATTTAGAAAGTGTTGTATGTATGCATATGAACATGCTGTTCATATATGCATGTGTGTTGGAGGTAAAACTGTTATTCTGGGGCTTGTTACCTGAACATTCATGCATCAACAAGTCCTAGAGTTTGCAACTTACATACATCAAAGCCCCAAGAAAGGCATCTTGACCCAGAAAGAAAACCCAAAAGCAGTGGTCCATAGAGCAATATCCCCAGAGTGATACATTTTGAGTGTGTTTGTGTGAGTGGATTGAGTGGACAAGCATGAGGCTATTTAGAAGTCTGGTTCTCCAGATTATATTCAGCTGATAAATGCTTACTAGTGTGCTTGCTTCCTTCTCTGAATCAGGTCCCAGATTTCCACTGGATGACAATGAGCTAAGAAGGTCAAGTTCTCAGGGAAGGCTGTCCCTCCATCATTCAAGGCCACTTTCTACATAAGGTGCATGTGCATGTTTACAGGTCTATTTCTTGTTCTTTTGGGAGCTTCATGCCATAGAGGCAGCGTTCTGGGCTAATAAGTAATTTGAGAGGTAAAATTCCCCAGCACTCCTTCCCTGCCTCTCCATTTCCTTCCTCGGCCAACAGCTGTGAGTCTCACCACTGCTTTCACTCCTTGAAAGAACAAACATCTTCACCGCAGCCTCAGAATTCTGGTGTGAGGCGATTGTTTGTGGATGTTTCCATGACACTCATTTATTCCTTCTGCAAATACAACTGTATTGGGGGAGGAGATGAGCGGCTGGGACAGGGAGAATGGGGAATCGCAAGCTCTTTCAACTTGCTTTCCTATCTTCTTCAGGAACGAGAACCCCCTTTCCCCTTTCCTTGGGCCTCCATCCTGCCTTCTAATTGCTCCTCAAATCCATCTTGGCTCCCCGCTGCTGAGCTGGAGGTAGGCTGTGAGTGAGGTGGGAGGGGAAGAATTGTGTGCACGAGAAGTATTTATTTAGAAGAAGGAGGAAAAAACTTTTATTGCTCAGAGTTGGGGTTTAGTAATCATGAGCAACGATGACCGGCCCTGGGGGTGGCAGTACGTGTGCACATGTGTTCCAGAGGGGTCTGTGACACGCCGCAGCTGAGCCAATGACTCATTTCAAATCTTTTCGACTTTTAGAGGTCATTTTAGTCATCCTCCTGCCTTCGGGCTGGATGGAGACTAACTTAATATCACGTTTGGTGGGGGTGGTGTGCTGTTCGGAGAGAAGGGTGTGCAAGGGAGTGGGAGGAGGGGAGGCTGCACGTGACCTCTTTGAAATGATCTCCAGCAAAGGACGTTCCCTAGCTTCCTCAGGATGCCAGGGTTTCCCCATCACTGAATCAGCGTGGTCCTCCTGGGAACTGCTTTTTCACTTGAAAGAAACCGGATGTTGGATTCCCAGGGTGGGAGGGGGTTCCATCACCTCGGACCTGTCAAGGGTTATTGAGACTCCGAGGGTCCCATTAGCCGGCCCGAGAAGCTACCATTTATCAGAAACTTGCCATGCAGTCTGAGCAGAGAACAGAACATACCAAAGACGCTACGCCTTCTCCCAAGCAATGCGCATGATTCTGCGGCTCTGTGCTCGCCACACTTCAACGCACCTTGAAATGGGCTCGCCTCCTTCGCGCCGCGACGGGCAGATAGATGAACCAATCAGTCCCTAGACCTGTGGGCAGTGTCCAATAGGCTAGCTGTGGGGGCGGGCCGGGAGGTCCGGTCCTACTAGGCTTCACCGTGGACCTGGCTGAGCTCTGCCTCCACAGCTAGTGCAGGTGCCGCTGCGCCGGGGCTGGGAGGGCTGCGCGCCGAGCCGAGCTGAGCCAGGGAGGGATGGAGAGCGGGCCGCCCGGGCTGCAGGAGCACCGGCGCGGGGCGTAGGCGGGCGAGAGGCGGGCGCTCGGGCACAAGAAGTGAACGGGCGCAGGAGCACTTTGCGATAGGATGAGGTTCTTGGCTGGCGCGCGGTAGTACTATGATTTGGTATGTGGCCACTTTGATAGCAAGTGTGATCAGCACCCGAGGTCTTGCGGCTCAAGGTGAGTTGAAGTGCAGCGTCCCTCCTCCAACCCTCCTGGCGCTCTCAGACCTTCGCCACGGGCTTTGGCTCCCTGACCTCGTAGGCGAGGCTCTGACTCCGGCCCGGCGCGCCTCGGAGTACTGAGGCACTGGCGCCCGGGCCCGGGACTCGCGGGCCCGAGGTACCAGGCGGGAAGGTGCGGGAGCCCTTAGGCTGCCGGGCAGGCGATGAAAGAACGCATTGGAACGGAGGTTAACTTGGCCCACCTTGGGACCTAAGGTTCACAGCCGCACACCTAGCCGGAGCTTTGGGGGACCCGTGGTTCCCCTAACTCTAGGTGCTGGGGACTTTGCGGGTCTTCCGGCAGGCTTCTGCACGTTCCAGCCCAGCGCAGTGCCGCTCGGCGGAGGAGCCCATGCAGGGAGGTGCGACCCGGAGCATGGGACTCTCCGCGCCACCTCTAAGGGACCGGGCTCTCCGCTCCGCGCCCCTCCTGCCCACTCATCTTGGCAGCGGCATCCGGATCCCGCTCGCAGGTGACAGCAGAACGGACCCAGCGGCTCCGAGCAGCTTCTGGTCTGACCCGCCCTGACAGCCACCCGCGCCCATCCTAACCGCACCCTGGCCCCGGCTAGGCAAAAGTTGCAGGGGACGCCGAGAGCCTGGCTGCCAGGCCCAGCGGCCTGGAGGCGAGGGCCGCGGCCGAGGGGGTCTCCTCCACTGGGTCGGAGCCCCGCGGGATTTTTCTCTTTCTGCTTTCTCCGATCTGAGCTCGAGAAGAGGCGAGGGCCAAGCCAGTGCCTTGGGGTGATGCTGCGTGAGCGCGAGGGCTTTCCGAGATGGCAGAGCTCTGGGTGGCACCCGGCTCCCAACCCTTGTATGGAAGTCAGAGCAGGGCCTGGAAGCTGCCAGGACTCTGAGCTCACGGTTTCTGCGCGCGGAACGGACCCGGCTGCCGGCAAGTTCGCAAAGCAGGGAGGAGATGGCAGCGGGAGTGAAGCGATCTGTGGGTGGAAGTCGGCGGGCGGCAAGGACCCGAGGACCAGGGCGCGGTGGAAAGGGCTCTGCGGGATGCGCCCGGTCTGCCCTGGTCTGCCGGCTTCTTTGCACCTTGCTTGGGGGTGTGCAGGGGGAGTGGTTTGAGAAAGTTTCTGTATTAGAATATGTCTCCTCTACCACTTGGAAGGGGGCTCTGAAACAAGCCGAGGGTGAAGGGAAGGACGGCTTTGTGTCCAGGGCTGTGATAGTCGGAATGGTTATAAAGCTCTCCATTTGCCAGGTGGGAAAACTGAGACTGGGTTACCCCAGAAGCTTATGCAAAGGGGTGGATCCCACTGTGCCTTCCCCACTCTCTCTTCCCTTGCAGTCTTTCAGTGACCTCCTCCTCCCTGCCAGGTTTTGGTATGTTCCTGCTATGGGTTTGTCATTGAAAGCACAAAAGGCTGTGCTAGGATCTGAATTGAAGAGACACTGAAGGAAGGATATAAAACAGCCTCCCCAACCCAAGCCAGGGTGGAGGAATGGATAGACTTGCTTATTTATTTATTTACTTATTTATATTTATTTATTTATTGCAAGTTTAAGCACAGAATAAGGAAAATTGGGTTTCTATTGCAGCTAATCACAGAATGGCAAGGCAGAAAGAGGAAGTTGCTACCACTGAAGGTTATGTTGGACATTCTTCTTTCAGGATAGAGGTCCTTCTGTCTGGAGCCTCTGCTCCTGTCTGGGAATAAGGGTGACCTATTTGTCTTGGGATCTTTTAGCCTAAAATGGCTCTATTTAGCAGCCACAGACCTAGGTTTACAGATAAATTGTCAGGATTCAAATCCTGGCTCTCCCACTTGCTGACCCTATGACCTTGGACAAATTTCTCACTCCTAAATGTCACTTTCCTCAATGAAGTTAACAGTAGGAACTTGTAGAGATTTGGGGTGGTGGTGGTGGTGAGCAGTGCTGTGATAAAGAAGTGGCTGGCTGCTTGTTGTAAAGTATGTACTCAGCAAACATTATCATTTTTATTTCAGTATCTATGGGGTTCCTGGCTCCCAATCAGTTTCTTTCCTTTGGGCTATTCAGGGAACCAGGAGTTAGGAGCATTTGGGACATTTAAAAGGCTGCCTCTGAAGAAGTGAGACCCCTTCATGGACTGACCTTGTCTGGGTAGAACCTCTTGTCCCTTGCATCCCAAAGATGTGTGGGTGGGGCATGCAGAATAGCTTGGAAGTCCTTTACAATGTCTGCAGAGCTGAAGTATTGTGGCTGCCAGAGGCTAGTAGAGGGATTTAAGACCCACCCAGCCTACAGAAGGGGCATGCACTTGCTTGTTCCAGAGAACAGGGTTGGGATACTGGTGAGGGTCCTTCTGGATCTCAGCTGCTCTAGGAGTAGTAGAGATGATTTCTGGGGAAATCTCTGAACCCAGGAACTTTGAGATGCTACTTCTAGAATTTGAAGCAGGAGCCTTTCTGGATAAACAGGTCAAGCCCCTCAAGGTGTGTTGGGTTGGGACTCTGTCAACTCACAAGTATGGGACAAAGGTGGACATGGACTCCTTTTGAGTCTGATCATTTATGTATTAGAAGTAACTGAGGACAGGGTGAGAGGATGAGGAGAAGAGAGAGACTGTTGCTATTGATTAATCATCCCAGATATCTGCTCAGCAATCTGGGAGCTTTGACATTATATGGTGACCATGGACCAGGTGTGACTGAATCTGAACTTCCCATAAGGGAGGGAAGTCTAGTCTTTAAGAATGTGGGTGGATTTTCCCTGGCTCCAGTGTGAACAGGTAAACTGCGGTCTGACTCAAATTCTGCTTATGATTGGACCAATGCCCTCTGTTCTCTACCTGGTTTTGGCCTACCTAGTTTCTCTTTGTTGATGGAGATGGGAAGGAGCAGGTTTAAGCCTCTGAATAGACTATCAGATGAGAAGGACTTGGCTCAGGAAGTGGTCAGTGAGTGCTGGCGTGTGTGTGTGTGTGTGTGTGTGTGTGTGTGTGTGTGTGTGTGTGTGTGTGTGTGTGTGTCTAGTAGCAGGTCCCCTGGGAGAAACTGGGATGGATTTATGTGGGATAGGACATTTTGGTGGATACTGGGAAGAGTCAGCTGGCAGCTGTGGGCCTATGGCCTGACATACATGCCATTCTCTGGAGTTGTCAGATCCCAGGTTCCCGTGGTTTCATGTTTATGGCTCTAAGGCAGAAAGCTGAGATCTGGTTGCCTGAGGAGCAAAGGTTGCCTGGCTAGGAGATGTTGAAAGCCTGCATCCCCCTCTCCACTTTGCTGTGCCTTGCTCTTTCCCATGACTGGGTCTCCTCTGTCCTCTCAGCAGGCCAGCCCGGAGCTCTCAGAGCTGGCCAGCATGTGTGCTGCTTCCTTGACTTTCTCTCAGCTCTGCCTGCTGGGTGCTCGCTCATTCGGTCTTCAGCCCTCCTGTTTGCTGCACTGAAAATGTGGGGGTGGGAGGTGAGCTCCAATGAGGACTTCACTATGAGCATAAGATTTAACCAGTTCTCATCTTCATGAGAGACCCCCTTTTCTGTGGCCTTCTCAGCTGGTGTCCCCTGGAAGTGACCCCCTTCCTTCTGCTTCTAGGATGTGTTAAGCAGTTTGTGTGAAGAGTGGATAGCATGAGCTGTGATTGGTTAGAACTTTCAGCTTTTTGGAAGTATATGTGTATATGTGTATTCATGTATGCACACCTGCAGGTACCCTTATGTGTGTACATACCTGTATCCATGTGTGTATGTATATGCACATTTATCTCCCTGCATGTGTACATGTCTGTGTAACTGATGTGCACCCTTGGACCTGTGTGCACATGCATGTGCAAGCACTTTGTGTGTGTGTGTGTGTGTGTGTGTGTGTGTGTGCGTGCACATACATGGATTGTAGCAGGACAAGGCCAGTTGGTACAGGTTTGAGGTGGGAGCTGCTCTTCTGACTACTGCAGGAGGCATGGAGACTATGCTCAGCAGGCTCCTTGCTTTCCTGTTCCTTGTTCTCTGCATCTGCATCTAGGCAGCCCAGATGTTCTCAAAGTTGGAGGCTTCAGCCCAGGGTCAGAACTAAGGAATGCCTGAGGCCCAATAGAGAATGCCTGAGTAACTGGGCAGAGGTTCAGCTCTTGGGGAAGCTGATGCTGCTTCTCTTGCTAAGAAGCATCAGTTGCCATCAACCTGGCATAGTCCAGGGTAGAGAAGGTTCTAGGTGCCTCGGGAGATGGGAGAGGATGCTGGGAGAGGGGTTGGAGAGGCAGCTTGCAGTCAGGCTTCTGCCCCAAGGGCACTGCCCATGGGTGTGGGCCTTGTCTGCCTGAGGCAACTGACCTATTTTTCTTAGAAATCTTCCTGCTTTTATTCATTCTTGTGTGAATAAGCAGGAGAGTGGTAAGTAGAGATGGGGCCTCTATGAGGGTTTGTGGAAACATTCCATGGGGGCCAGGGCTGTGAGGGAGATCTCAGCCAGCCTGCCTGACCTTCTGACAAGAGAGGGACAGAAAACCCAGTCTTCTGCTCTATTTTCTGTCCCCTGATTTTCTTCCTGGTCACATGAGCCCACAGATAAGAGGCTGTGGCATAAAACTTGCACATGGGTTCAAGTTGTACGAGTGATCATTGTCCTTACTGTGGTTCAGAGCAGAGTTGCTGCTACTGCCCTGGAGTAATATCCCACCCTGTTACAGGGCCTGGCTGGCTCCTCACCTTGTGACTGGCCCAGCCTGTGGTACCTTTACTGGCCAGCCTTGCTGCTTGCCTACCAGCCTGCCCCTTGTGTTATACAGGGTACATGCAAAACAGGCCTTCACCCAGGGCTAGGGCTGTGGGTGTAGGGGGTGTGGCTTCGCTTTTCTGCTGAGGAGCCATTAAAGGAGCAGGACTGAGATTGAATTACAGACTTCCTTCCTGCCTGTGGCTCCTGGGGAAAGGGCTCTTGGAAATATAATCTAGCCTGGCAATTTAAAGTTGCTAATAACATCACCACCTCATGGTGGCTTCGGGGAGCCCAGCCAGAA